CTCCTTACATTCATGAGAAAATATCACTTAAGGTTGGAAAAGCACTTTCATACCTTTCCCTAAAATTTTAAGCTTGTGGGGGGGAGTTTCACATTATATTTTCGCTTACCATGAACCATACAAAATTATCAAAACCGGGTCACAGAATAAACAAGCCATCAGCTTAAACAAGTCATCATAATAACTGACGACGAGGGATCGGAATGAAAACCCGTTACACAAAACACTGATTAAAAGAATCAGACCAATGGACTGAGCAGGGGAACACATGCATACTACTCTAAGGCAACACAATAAGAGTCAAAGAAAGTTGTGCGCTGATTCTAAATTGTGTTCTTGGAACAAATCAACTTGTAAGTTATGTGTTTACATTATGAAAATTACAACTTCACCAGCAAAGCCCAGCATCAATCTGAAGAGACAAAACGTTTAAATGTGACAAAGTATAACAATAATGATAAAAGAATTCCATATGACAACAAAACAGGCAATTGCATAGACTTACACTCTTTCACTCAAGTGACATCTTAAGAAGAACAAAACGCAAAGTAAAATATCAGACAAGTATAAAAACTTACAAATGTACACAAAAACTCAAAATGACAGAAAAAGCAAAAAAATATTGTCCTGAACAAAGAAACGGAGCTGAACACATCGGACTGAGCTGGGAGTCCAAGAGTAAAATTAACAATATTGGCAGGGAGCAGAAGCTGATTGTAAATGTAAGCACAGACTGAGACTGTCTTTCAACATAACAAAATGATATAATACAGATAAGGAAACCTATCAATTAACCTCCCAACACCCACACACCCACACACGCACCCACACAGCATTCATCCTGCCCCCCCCCCCCAATCTGAAAGAGCATGATGTTTTAAAGAGCCCACTATAGAGACACAACACATTCTTCAGTCACTTCTGTCTGATGGTTGACCAACAAGAACAATAGCAATAACTATAACTATAACTGTCTCTACAACTTTTACAGAATTAATAAGGTGCAGACAAATACAAAACTTAGGTAAAAAAAAACACAAATAGACACCTGCACACATATGCACACATGCATACATGACCATGCTTTCTCCTGGTAGATACATGAACACGCACACACACACACACATGCACCCATGCACGCACAATCCTCTAATGAGCAAATATGCACAGACATCAGACACACATGATTGCACAATCGCCTTGTGAGTGAGCAAAGTCCATAGTTAAAACTCCAGGAAAATTTAACAGTAATAAAACTCCTCAAAACATCCTTGCAGTTGTAATATCCCCCCCACACCCACCCACCCCAGAAACCCTCTCGATATTTTGAGCGCAGGACCATTTTTCAAAGCTTGACACTCCGCTTTTTTCAAAGTGTCAAATAAAGAATCATTCTGATTACACACATATATAAAAATTTTAAAATACAGATTGCAAGTTACATATATGAGGATTCCCTTAGTAAAAATCTCAAGTGGTCTATTTGCGTAGTAATCTCACAGTAACAGCAGGTGCGGGGAGGAAGAGAATGATTCTCATTACACACACACATTAAAAAAAAAATTTTTTATGGAAGAATTGACAATTCAGCGAATCTTAAACAATGGGAGCCCCCTCACCAGCTGAGACATAAAGTGTGAGACACATTATGTACAAAACAAGACACCTTTATATTTCAAGCCCCTCTTAACGCACCAACACCAGCCTCGCAGTGCCACACAGGCACAAGGCAGCCCACATCCTCCCCCTCCAGCACCACTGAGAGATACACAAAGACCAATTGCACAACGATCCAACATAGTATACATACATATATATTATTATTATATAATATACATATAAAACATCAGTGTCTTACTCCAACCTCGTATCCGCCAAATTATGTCACACACTAATTAGGGTGAAAACAATGTAATCAGGGCTCAAAATTTTGTGTAGTGGTTTTTTTTCCGTTTTTTTTTTACTTATTATAAAATCATATTCAGACAAAAGAAGTGTCTGGCCTAATTTGGCGGATACATGGTTCGAGTAGGACATTATCATATTTATACATCTTTGTACAAAGAATAAAATACATTTCACCAACAAAACAAACCATAGTGCCATCAGACGTGTATACAGAGGAAATAATTATGACAACATCACTAACCAAAACAACTGGTCCAGGGGGGAGTGGTCCACAAGATGGAACGAAGCGAGTAGGAAGCTTCCAGTCGGGGCAGAGGCGAGTGTTAACTCTCATGCCAAGCCAGAAGCAAGCATAAACACTTCGGTCACGGCAGAAGCAAACATTAACCCTCCTATCACCACAGCGGTAAGCATTAACCCTTGTGTCTGGACAGAAAAAAAGTGTCAACCCTCAGGTCGCTGCCAACAATGAGAACTCTTAACAGAACAAAGTGCAGCCAAGAGAGAGAGAGAGAGAGAGGGGGAGAGGGAGAGAGAGAGAAACAGAGAGAAACAGAGAGAGAGAGAGAGAGAGAGAGAGAGAGAGAGAGAGAGAGAGAGAGAGAGGGGAGGCTGGGGTTCATTCATCCATTCTCTAACACGTCCTGAAACATGGCAACAAAACTGTTGCTCTTGATTGGCGTGCTCGGTGGGAAGGTCGTAGGTCACTGCACTTTGTTTCAACGCAGAGTCTTCAGGGAACTTGGGGTAAATGCTGGTCCCTTCCACAAAGCGTCGTCTTTGTCCAGGGGTCCGTGGGGTCCAGGGGGTCTTGAGTAGCTCAGCACCATGGAAAAAAACAACGTTCGTCTCTTCTGTCTACCGTTTGATGAGCCGGAAAGAGTTGGAGGATTTCTTAGGAACCAGCAATGCTGCCACTGCAGGAAGGAAATGAAAGTTATACTGAGCTCATGCGTGAGTGAAGCATGAAGACAACATTCTAGCATGACATTTACACACAGACAAAGCTTATAGCAAATGATGAAAACGCTCTTTCAAAAAAAACCACTTAATGTTTAGCTAACACACCTAAGCAAAACATTCCCTCAGACCTGTTGACAGGTCACACAGCATCCCCTCCCTGTTGTTTTATTTTTGCTCTAGTAAGAGTTTTACAGCACTTGAAACAAAAGTAGTTCAAATAAGAGCCAAAAATAAGAGGTTTTACATGAGAGTAAAAATTATTTTTAAAAACAAAAAAAAGGAGAGATGTAAGGACAACAAAGGTTTGAAAGGAAAAAAGGAGCAAACCCCACACCACAGCACCCGCCAACCACCCACTCCCCCAAGATGTAGTGGAGATCACAAGAAAAGGACAGACAGAGGGCAAAAGGAGAAATGAAAATAGTAGAGGGAGGAGGGGGAGAAATTTGGAAAAGGGCGAAATGAGAAAAGAATTTTTTTTTTTAAGAGGAGGAGAAGGAGCAGAGAAAAAATTCTTTAAAAAAAAGAGGAGAAGGAATGATTTGGGTTTTTTTTAAAAGATGTTGAACAACAAGACTTTCAGACATAGATACAGCCAGTACGCATGACAGGCGGAGGGACGACTCACACTTGCTGTCCTGTGGAGTGAGCGGCATCTCCACCACACGCTGCAGCGCCAGCACCCACTTCTCCATGTCCTCCTGCGTCTCGGCGCGCATCACAAAGTCCCGGTCAGGCGTGTGCAGGGTGAAGCAGTAGCTGCTGCCGCTCGTCTGACTGTTGGAGCCCCGGTTGCCCTCCTCCTCCCCGGTGCTGACAGAGTAGCCAGCATCCTTGTGGCCGATGAACACCTCGCCCTTGGCAAACGCGTTCTGATGGGTGCACAGAGGGGAGGAAACAGAGTGGGGTTAAGACTGCATTGAAAAGCTTTTTAAAAAAATTTTAGCAAGTGTTTTATGGCACTTGCAACACAATTAGTGTTAGGCTACATAAGTGCAGAAGCTTAGAGGTGTTACAAGAGAGTAAAAAAACATTAAAAAAGGAGGAGAGATAAAGACGATAAGTATTTGAAAGAAAAGAAGGAGCAAACCACACCAGGGGTTCTACCAACCACCAACAGTGAGCAACTTAACCCATGGGAATGCAAGACCACTCTCTGACTGAACACAAGTGGGCAGGGAGATAGCACTCAGAGGGGTGTGGAGCGGAACTGAAGCATTCAAGATCTGAACATTTGAGAGGAGGTAGCACTCTACAACTGAAGAGAACTAAATTGAAGAATTGGAGAGGACGGTGGATATCATCCTACTATTGAAAAGAAGGAGTAGTGAATAGAACACCTCAATTGAATCTCCCTTCCTCCCTCACACGAACACACAAGAGCCCTTGGACCCTCCACTCACCAGCTGTTCCTCAAAGTACATGAGCTTCCTGCGGTCCAGGGTGAACCAGCGACGGCGGAATGGCTCGTTCTTGGGGCCCATCTTGTGAAGCCAACCCTCCAACAGGAAGTCTTTGGTCAGATCCTCTGCCAGCTGCCGAACACACAACATACATTACATGAAAACTTTCTCACTTCCAATAGTCACCAGAGTACCCTCCTGATAGAAGCAAAAGAAGAATTTGTACGAGTAAAAAGAAGCCAAGCAACAACATTTTGTGCTGGGAAAAAGCAAGAAAGACAGACAATAACGATTGAGAGAAAGAAAAGAAGAAGGCTCTATTAGGAGTGTCCTCTATCCACGCCAAGGAAGAGGGACAAGCACACATCATCAAAAACCCCACAAGACACTAGTCCACAGGGCAGGATACTGGAGGACACTCCTACTTCACAGGCTGACAAATCAAACTCTGGCTCTTCCCAACCTGCATCTCTCAGCACCTGGGTTCTAAACCTCATCTTCATCCTTTTGGTCAACCACAAAACTTTTTCATTCTTCTTGAGTGACATAAAAGCACACTGGAATGATAGCCACGCGGTGTGAAGAGCAAGCAAATTTTTATACAAAACGTTTGTCAGTTTGAGTTATGGAAAATTAAAGAACAAGAATACTGATACAAAAACAACTAAAAAGATTTGGGATAAGTTAGACACACAGACAAACAGAAACAGAAGGATAATAAAAAAGGGAACCTACTACAGGCATCCTCGAATCAGACAGAAATTTTAGATAGAAAGAAGAAAAAGACTGGTGTATGAGTGTCTGCCTAGAACAAACATCCTGCAAACCGAGAAGACAGGCTCTACCAATGTCAAACACAAACATCTCTCACCTGTACCAGATCTCTGTCCGGGAATGCAATTCTCCTTCTCTCCCACTTGGCCGCCCGTATACACATGTACCAGTCAACAATATCCTGAGTAAACAAAAAAAAAAACGTATGAGGAAACACATTCGAACACAGACAATTAACATCTTTCATCTAAGTGCACATAAACACACTTGCAAACACACACCTCACACATGCTCTACATTTTCCTATACTGACACTTCTAGACTATCACAACATCAAAAGTGTGACTTTAAAAGTCTGGGAGATTCGTTGTAGTAAACTTATAACCATCAGACCTGTAAGCCGCCCTCCAAAAAATTGCCTGAAAGTCAGATGGAGCTACGGAAAGTCGAAGGCAAGAAAAACAGAAAAGTAAGGTGTCGCTGGGCATGCTCCCCCTTCAATATTTTGAACAATGAAGTATTAATAATGCCATCTGAGGCCATTTTCAGCAGTGAAAAGTAAAATAATAGATCAAAATAGAATCTTAAGTGCATGACATTGATATTTACAGGCACCACAGCTGTGTGACATGGTGACGAAGCCTTACCCTTTTATTTTAGTTCCAGAAGAAGAGGACATAGGAGAGGGTGATTTTCTCCAATGCCTGAGATGCCTCTGGCAGCAATACTGACAAGACACCATGACAGGCTGTGTGATGTTCTAAATATAGTCCGACAGAAGGTCTCCAGTTTGTTGAGCATATCCACTTAAATTAGTTTTCCACACTGGCCTCACTGTCACTGAGCTTATCATGACAATAACCAATGTTTTCCAGCATTGTCTCAGACTCAGATCGAAGAACAAAAAATCTTTAAAGAGATAAAACTACACAGCCATAAAGTAACAATAAAAATCCAATCAAAAAACTTTGCCTGCCAAAACAAAAGCCAAACCAAGACAGAGCAGCTAAAATAACAGCAAAGGTCGTAGGTCTTCCTCACACAATACACAGCACTCTGGAATCTCCATAAACGAGCATTTCAAGTACCCGATAACTGCTCACATGATGCATAGCCTACATCTCTGTTTTTTAACATATTTGGAAAATGCAACTGGAGGCTGGGAAAGTGTTGTCCTTTTGCTAGTTCATATTCCTGTTTCCAGAAATGACAAAACTGAAAACTCCCAGCGAAAATTGTGGCCGGAACGAGATATTTGGTAGAAAACATCCGAGTAAGGCAGAAAAAAGTTGGTTAGCATCAAAATTGCCAGAATTCCAGCAATTGCTAGAACACTTACAGGTCTGAATCACTAGATAGAATTCAACATTAATAAACTTTTCCAGCATTCACTTAGTTTTCTGTACCAATACCATATGTGAGGCATCGTGGTGGAATCAGGCACTCGTCAAAATAATGAAAGAGGAGAAACTGACCTTTTTGCGCAGGTTTGATAATTTTTATTGAATTTTTGTTTTTGGGTTCACACCGTTCATGTCTATTAAAAAACACATTTCTGTGTGGATTGTACTGAAAAACGTCAAATAAAGGCATACAAAATGTAAATTTGCTGTTTCCACGGACTCTCAAGCTAAGGAAATACTAAACTTTGGTGGCCATTTTCTCGCTAATATTACCTCTGAGACCAGGCGGCCCCCACCTTCTTCAATAGCTAATATCTCGACCTGTATTCACGATAAATGGATCTTTTTTTATCGAAAGCAAGACAAAGAAAAAGCTTCAAGATGACACTAATATCTCTACCTGCCCCAAAATTGACAAGCGCCTGATTCCACCGCGTCGTGACATATATCACTCTGATGTCTTTCTACTCTCTACTGCTCTTCTGATTCTTACCTTAGAGCTTTCTGAATACACAAAGAGGTTGCGGGTGGAGCCATTCTTAAAGTACGTGATCTGCAGACCGTACGGGTTCCCAATCTTCTCCGGGACAAACACTGCATTCACAAAATCAAGATCAGCTTCTGCTTTGGGTTGTTTGTTCTGAAAAAAAAAATACAGCATGAATCATTTATATCATATAAGTGCTGCTCATACCATGAATAATACACCTGTATGAAACTACCTAAGGTCTCAATGTGAATCTTCTCAAACAACAGCAGCCCCCGATTGTAAGATAAAATTTATACAATGGTAACTTTTATCACAAAATTGTTTCGACTTTTCTTTTCTTAAAGTAAAAGAAAAGCAAACTGAAAAGATAACTGCCATTCAGTGAGGTGAAAAACAAGACAGACAGAAATAACAGAGGGATAAAAATGATGTAAGACATGTTAGTGGCACTCTCAAACCATCTCAGATCACAAAACGAAACCTTCATACTTTGGTAACTCAAGGTCAACAAACATCACTAACTTTTATTTAGTTGTGGTAAGAGTTTTACGGCACTTGCAATAGAATAAGGTCATAAAAGAGCCGAATATTACCAGTATTACTAGAGATCAACCAACACAAAAAAAGGAGGAGAGATTAGGACAATAGATGTTTGAAAGGAAAGAAGGAGCAAACCACACCAGAGCACCCATCAACCACCCACTCACTACTGTTTAGTCATGGGTACCTTTTTAAAAAAGTTTTAGTAAGGTTTTACGGCGTTCGCAACAGCATAAAGCCACGTGAGCCCCAAAGGGTGGATGTCAACAGAGAAGTCCAAACAGGGAATCTGGCTTACTCTGCTTACCTCTATAGTCTCAGCAGCACAAACTCTGCTTCAGCTATCAAGGCACCTCAGAAATAGCAGTTCACAAGAGAGTGACAAACATACAAAAGAAGTAGAGGAAAAATGACGATAGTAAAGATGAGGAAAGGAAAAGCAGCAGTTCCCCCATGTTGTTCCGGCACAGTATGAGTGTGACATTGATAAATCAGCTCATTTACAAATCTACTGTGCATAAAGAACATGTTTATACCCCCCCCTTTCGAAATGGGTATCTTTGTTTATTCGTAAGAAGCCAAGAGAAGCACACAATTAATTACTGTATCAGTCACAGTTGTGACATGACACAACACAGCATTGAGAGTAGGGGAAAGACTGGACCAAGAGCAGCCCACCCTGCCAAACCTACACCAAGGAGGTAGATGAAAGGCAAAACATCATTACAAAAAATACAAATGATACCACGGTGACACCTGCAGCAATAATGATAGCAATGAAAACCACTCTAACATATACAGTAAAGAAAAAAACAATAACAAAAACAGCAGTTACAGAAACAATAAGAACAGCAAAAAAACAAAACAAACAAAAAACAAATTTACACAACCATAATAACAACTGCTGGAACAAACACAATTATAAAATCAACCTTATCAACAGCAAAATGGGAACAACCACAACAACAACAACGATTCCCACATCACCAGTGACATCTCTCCCCATGTACCTTGCCGTTCTCCTCATTGACGTAATAGTACAGTTTGTTCTCCGCCCGTGACAAGACAAACTTTCTCTGAGCAAACTGCTTCCTGTCTCGGCCCAGCTTCCACAAGAGGCCCTGCTTGGTGGCGCAGTTATAGCTGCTCTGGTTGTCCGGGTCTGAGAACTCCAGACGCTGGTACTTGGCCAGTATCCACTCTTTTCTTAACACGCTGTAGGATGGAGGGGTTTAGTTTTAGTATTAATAAGGTTTTACGTCACTCACTACTGCATAAGGTCATATGAGCACCAAGACGTGGATGTCAAAAGGGAAGTCCAAAAGGGGAATCAGGCTTACTCTGCTTACCTCTAAAGTCTCAACAGCACAAAGTCTGCTTCGACTATCAAGGCATCCTGGAAATAGCGTTCACGAGAGAGTGACAAACATACAAAAGAAGTAGAGGAAAAATGACCATAGTAAGGATGAGGAAAGAAAAAGCAGCAGTTCCCCCATTTTGTTCTGGCACAGTTAGAGCATGACATTGATAAATCAGCCCATTTACAATTCTGTGCCTAAGAACAAGTTAATATCCCCCTTTTGGGAATGGCCTAAAGACAACTTCAGACAGTAGCCATGCCTTGGTGGGGGAAGGAGGGGTTTAGATTGTTTGTTTTTATTTTATTTTTTGAGCAACAATGGTCATTTAGTGCTGGAAAAAAGTATGACAGCAGACAGAAACAAGAGGGGAAAAGTAAAGAAGTATGATCTGCCAGCGATGCTCTCAAACCATCTTCAGAAGTGGGCGGGGGGGGGGTAAAGGCGAGGAGGAGACAATGCGGCAGAAGGTTTTGTATGTTTGCGGAAAAAGAAGCGCATCAACACAATAATGGCAATTTAGTGCTGGGTGAATGAAAGACAGACAGACAGAAACAATAGAGGGAAAGAAAAGGAGTAGGACCTACCAGTGGTGCCCTACAACCACCCGCTCAGTGGAAAGTAAGGGAGCCGACAGACATGGGTACACACACTTAGAAGAGTAACAGCACAAGGTTTGATAACAAAAGGAAACACATGACTATCAACACCCTAGTACTATAGCCATCACAAGGCAACAGTATTAAGAGTTTGCACATAATAGCTGTCTCAGTCTGGATTAGATTCTGGGACAGTATCTTTACTGTCAAGCAAGGGGCAGTGAACTGACATTTCTGATACAACACTAGCCTTGCACCAGTATCAAAGCCACAAACTGTAAGAAAAAAAAATACGCTAATATCCATCAGTACTCCCCTTTCCCCAAATGTAGTATCTTCCAGCAACATTTTCTTTTCCGACCGCCCCCCCCCCCCCTCCCCATATCTACAAATGATGACATCTAATTCCCCCTCCCTCCTCATGAAAAAAAAAAAAGCACAAACATTCCCTTTGTGCTAGAAAACAGCAGGTGAACAAACTGGAGAGCCACCTCGCCAAATACTCACTCAACAGTTCCAGGGAAGGGCTTGCTGTAAAACTCTGGGACACAAAGCTCATAAGTATCCCTGGCCTTGACATTGCCGATCATCTCCATCACCTTGCAGGAGAATAAACAATCATCTAGTGAGCAGCACAGATAGAAAGACAATAGACTGACAGTAGTTGCACTGGTCCCACAACAAGTCAAGACAGGGCGTAGGACCAGCATATTGATATAACATAAAACATTGGGTGAAGCAGTCCGAAACACACTGCTATAAAATCACCCTTGCAAACAAAAATGTGAACGTCTTGCCACACATCCATTTCTGCCAAGAAAACTACGACCACCACAACAAAAACAAATGCAGTTACTATAGCAACAAGAAGAGAAAAAAAATCAAAACACCAGAAGACAGCCAGATGCTGTACGAATGTATTTTGTCTGAGTGAGTGTGTGCCTGTATAAAATGTGTGTGTGTGTGTGTGTGTGTGTGTGTGTGTGTGTGTGTGTGTGTGTGTGTGTGTGTGTGTGTGTGTGTGTGTGTGTGTGTGTGTGTGTGTGGGACTGTGAGTCTTTAGGAGTTAATGCAAGAATGTGTCACACAGACAGGGTGTCCAGTGCATGCGTGCGTGTATGTGTGAGTGTGTGTGTGTGTGTGTGTGTGTGTGTGTGTGTGTGTGTGTGTGTGTGTGTGTGTGTGTGTGAGTGTGTGTGTGTGTGCACACGTGCGAGCATGTGTCCACAAGCATGACTGTCTGAGTCTCTCAGTAAGAATCCGTGCAATCCAGTCTGTGTCTGTGTGAGTGTGAAAAAAATATATTTTTGCATCTGTGTGGGGGCAAAATAATTTAGAGTATTCATGAGAATGAGCGCATGAGCGTGTCTGTATGAATGCACAAATTATTTGTGTGTCTGTGTGAGGGACAAAAGAATTTAGCTCATTCATGAAAATGTGCACCTGAGCGTGTCAGTGTGAGCGTGTCTGTGAGTGCACCATCTGCGTGAGTCACATACCTGCACCTGATCCTTGTCCCAGTTGTCCAGTTTAATGGACTTGATGCGGCTCTGGGAGGAGCCTAGGGCACGGTGCACCCCCGCACAGTCCTTGCACAGGAACACTCCAATGGTGCATGAGGCCCAGTCTGGGTCTGAGGGGAGAACAACCATGTTGTCAGAAAAGACCAATCCATGAGATATTCGTTAAGTAAGAGTTTTACCACCAACTACTAACAACACACTTGGGTTATTTAAGCGTTGAAGATAAGGTAAGTTAGGTAAACAAGAGAGTAACAAACAAAAAAGGAGAGATAATGACAACAGATGTTTGACAGGAAAGAAGGAGCAAACTACACCAGAGCACCTGAAACAATAGAGGGAAAGAAAAGGAGTAGGACCTACCAGTGGTGCCCTACAACCACCCGCTCAGTGGAAAGTAAGGGAGCCGACAGACATGGGTACACACACTTAGAAGAGTAACAGCACAAGGTTTGATAACAAAAGGAAACACATGACTATCAACACCCTAGTACTATAGCCATCACAAGGCAACAGTATTAAGAGTTTGCACATAATAGCTGTCTCAGTCTGGATTAGATTCTGGGACAGTATCTTTACTGTCAAGCAAGGGGCAGTGAACTGACATTTCTGATACAACACTAGCCTTGCACCAGTATCAAAGCCACAAACTGTAAGAAAAAAAAATACGCTAATATCCATCAGTACTCCCCTTTCCCCAAATGTAGTATCTTCCAGCAACATTTTCTTTTCCGACCGCCCCCCCCCCCCCCCATATCTACAAATGATGACATCTAATTCCCCCTCCCTCCTCATGAAAAAAAAAAAAGCACAAACATTCCCTTTGTGCTAGAAAACAGCAGGTGAACAAACTGGAGAGCCACCTCGCCAAATACTCACTCAACAGTTCCAGGGCAGGGCTTGCTGTAAAACTCTGGGACACAAAGCTCATAAGTATCCCTGGCCTTGACATTGCCGATCATCTCCATCACCTTGCAGGAGAATAAACAATCATCTAGTGAGCAGCACAGATAGAAAGACAATAGACTGACAGTAGTTGCACTGGTCCCACAACAAGTCAAGACAGGGCGTAGGACCAGCATATTGATATAACATAAAACATTGGGTGAAGCAGTCCGAAACACACTGCTATAAAATCACCCTTGCAAACAAAAATGTGAACGTCTTGCCACACATCCATTTCTGCCAAGAAAACTACGACCACCACAACAAAAACAAATGCAGTTACTATAGCAACAAGAAGAGAAAAAAAATCAAAACACCAGAAGACAGCCAGATGCTGTACGAATGTATTTTGTCTGAGTGAGTGTGTGCCTGTATAATGTGTGTGTGTGTGTGTGTGTGTGTGTGTGTGTGTGTGTGTGTGTGTGTGTGTGTGTGTGTGTGTGTGTGTGTGTGTGTGTGTGTGTGTGTGTGTGGGACTGTGAGTCTTTAGGAGTTAATGCAAGAATGTGTCACACAGACAGGGTGTCCAGTGCATGCATGCGTGTATGTGTGAGTGTGTGTGTGTGTGTGTGTGTGTGTGTGTGTGTGTGTGTGTGTGTGTGTGTGTGTGTGTGTGAGTGTGTGTGTGTGTGCACACGTGCGAGCATGTGTCCACAAGCATGACTGTCTGAGTCTCTCAGTAAGAATCCGTGCAATCCAGTCTGTGTCTGTGTGAGTGTGAAAAAAATATATTTTTGCATCTGTGTGGGGGCAAAATAATTTAGAGTATTCATGAGAATGAGCGCATGAGCGTGTCTGTATGAATGCACAAATTATTTGTGTGTCTGTGTGAGGGACAAAAGAATTTAGCTCATTCATGAAAATGTGCACCTGAGCGTGTCAGTGTGAGCGTGTCTGTGAGTGCACCATCTGCGTGAGTCACATACCTGCACCTGATCCTTGTCCCAGTTGTCCAGTTTAATGGACTTGATGCGGCTCTGGGAGGAGCCTAGGGCACGGTGCACCCCCGCACAGTCCTTGCACAGGAACACTCCAATGGTGCATGAGGCCCAGTCTGGGTCTGAGGGGAGAACAACCATGTTGTCAGAAAAGACCAATCCATGAGATATTCGTTAAGTAAGAGTTTTACCACCAACTACTAACAACACACTTGGGTTATTTAAGCGTTGAAGATAAGGTAAGTTAGGTAAACAAGAGAGTAACAAACAAAAAAGGAGAGATAATGACAACAGATGTTTGACAGGAAAGAAGGAGCAAACTACACGAGAGCACCTGCCAATCATCCACATATGAAATACTCACAACTTGTCAACACAACAATAAACATTATTCAGAAACGGAGTGGATGTATAGTAACGTTGAAAAGAAGGGGCAGACAATAATATAGAGATCATGTACACCAGAGGTGAGAGACACAACAGGATGAAAGGGAGTGTAGAAATGTGCTGCTACAACAAAAGATGAAAGGAACTTAGAACCCCCCCCCCCCCAAAAAAAAAAAAAAAGCAAAACAGATCAAACAAAAATCACATGTAAAAAAAGATGTAAAAGAAAACAAAAAAAAGGATTATATGAAAGAATATAGCACAAAAAAACATTCCACAAAGAGAGAATAGAAATAAATACAAATATAAGAGTTGAATGTTCAGTCAAGTATATCTTGGGGGATGGGGGGATCTTAAAAAGGATTAGAAAATGGCACATCTTTATCAGAATCAATTTTAACAAATATCCAGTCTCCCTCTTAGAAACTGTCTGTGTCCACCCTGACCCACTTCATAAAAATGACAAAGAGACAAAGTTAATGACCTTATTTTCATACATAAACAAAGTAAACATAACGGCTGATAACAATTTAGCACTTTAAAGGGCAGTCTCAGTCCAATTTTATCTATAAACAGCAGTTATCAGCCATCTACATCCACTCCGACAACTTCAAGAGTCATTTTTCTGTGTCAATTACTCTGTCCCAAGTAATCACCACCCCATCCAGGTGATAAAAGATCAGATTGTCTAATCCAATCTCTGAATCAACCTCCAAATATAACTCAAACACACACACACACACACACACACACAAACACATAAACACACACACACACACACACACACAAAAACACACACACACACACACAAACACACACACTCACTCACACACACACACACACCCGTGTTGCAACTACCAGCATGCTGAAAGCCACCAACACAGATGGGAATGATACTCCAGCTCTTGACCGATATATGTCAAGACGGTCCAACCCAGTAAGAGAGCTATCTCCCCTGTGACCTACAAGCAGTACAGACCCATGCTGCACTGCAGACTTGTGCAGATAGGGCACACACTCAAAAGGCTTTTCCGCTGTAGTTAAAGATCACTGATATGAAAAGAGAAGGAGAAAGAAAAAGAAAGAAAGCTGGAAACATGGTGAAAAAACCAACAGATCCAGTAACTGTGGGAAATCGAGAGAGAGAGAGAGGGAGAGGGTGAGGGAAGAAAGAATGAGAATGAAAGAGAGAGAGAGAGAGAGAGAGAGAGAGAGAGAGAGAGAGAGAGAGAGAGAAATTATAGGCCTCAGACACACATACGCAGCACAAAGAAAAGGTTAAAGAAGTAAAAAGGATGTGTGATGACGTCTCTTTCCAACCAGATCATTTGGAAAGACAAACGTTTATAATGCTCAGGGGAACTGTACTACACAGCCTGACACAGCCATAAAACTAAGCAATCTGCTTGAGAGGGGAGGCAAAAGTGCAACTCAGCTCAGGTTATAGCAAAGCAAGGCACAATATCCCAGTAGGCTACTACTGACAGAATTACATTTTCACCTATTCTGCATCCCTATGACACACACTGTCCCTTCTCTTCCAGGCTCCAGGCAGCCATTACACTACTCTGCGCAGTATTTTATCATTCACGTCATATATATCAAATTGATCACAAACTTTCTCCTATTTACAGATGGCACAAGGATTCTTTTCATTGTTCACTAGCCGCTGTACTGGTTTGCCTCATCCAAAGAGCCTGGAGCACACAGGAACCCAAGTATGCTTTCTTACTGCCTTACCCCGAGATGTAAAACAAAAAAGTGAGAAATCATTAACTTGAAATTATAAGAAGAAATTTGACACCAATAAAACCCAGAGGTAGTAAGTAAGCTATGACTTACACTGACCGTTTAGTAAAAACCAGGACACAGCATTCATGATACAAACAAGCATGTAGGCTGTTGTAACAATTGATATGAGAGGCAACGTGGCGAAATCATCAGGCGCTTGTCAAAATACAGAAATCTGAGCAACAGGCATTTTCCCGCCAGTTTAAAATTTTTGTTTTTGCCTCAAAATCTTTCATGCCCATATATAAAAACACATTTCCATGCGAATTTTAAGGAAAAACATTGATTAAAGGCACAAAATATGTCATTTTTCTGTTTTCAAGGACTCTTTAGCTATTGGAGTTACCAAACTTTAACGGCCATTTTCTCAATAATTTCACTATTGAAACCAGGCAACCCCACTTCCGTCAATCGCAAATATCTTGAGTTCTATTCAAGATGGATATTTATTTCATTGGAAGCAAGGCAAATAAATCAGCTTTCAGAAGATACCAATAACTCAACATGACCAAAAAATGGACGAGCACCTGGTTTCACAGCGTCGTGACACATATTATATTGTTTAACGTGGTTGAGATTTACTGCAGGAATTTTTAAATACAAATATATATTATATGTAGCAGACAATATTAGCTAGATCAGAACATTTAAACTTGCTAGATCTGTAGATCTTTTCTGTCATCTAAAGTTCAGTGTGCATTCTATCTTTTGTTTCCCTCGCCCTCACACATTTTCAATTTTCATCTTGCAAACAAAGTTTAATTATCTAGAGATCTATAATTATAACTAATTATAAACCTCCACGACCGTCTTTGCCATTATTGAGAGAGAGCCAAAGCCAAAGGGGCTCCACTATATATGGGTTCCCTAGTCTCAAGTTTTATCACAACCTTCACAATCATTTACGTGTCTTTTACGGTACCCTAAAAGAACGTTCAGAACATCAAGCTAACATTACTATCAAAACCAGGTGAGGAATTCCATAAAGAGCGACCACCAGTGGCGGTTCGTGGTTTATAGAACTGACCGGCCATCATTCACATAGACGCTTTCTTCCCCCTTCCTTCACAACACACACACACACACACACACACACACACACACACACACACACACACACACACACACACACACTCTCTCTCTCTCTCTCTCTCTCTCTCTCTCTCTCTCTCTCTCTCTCTCTCTCTCTCTCTCTCTCTCTCTCTCTCTCTCTCTCTCTCTCTCTCTCTCTCTCCTCATTTTATACCCCTACTTTCGCCATCCCCACCCCTCCCCCACTCACACACACCACTGTAAACATTTTAATATAATGTGAAAGAGCTGAAATATGGTAGTGTCAAGAAACAATATTATGATTAAAGTATGATGGAAGTTACTGAGTTAATAGAAACTGACTTGAACGGCATAGGAAATGAAACACTACTAGAGTCTATGCTAGAAAACAAACTGAAAGTGAGAAGCACAATAAACTGCTGGTCATAGCCTCCAGTACTTTTACTTTCTACACACCCATACACAATATCGACGTGCACTCGACCTGTAAATATGTAATAAGAACAGTACTGTCAATTGATATTGTACCAATGACGCTGTCCCATGCAGATTAAATCTAAGATCAGATACTATAAAAAGCTGGACAAAGCTAGCACACAACAGTTTTCCATCATTATGTAATTAAACGTTCTTCATCACACTTCTCAGTTCTCAGAACACTGTTGTAACAAAGTGGTGAAGTGTGTCAAATGCTAATTATAGAACTTGGTGTCTAGCTGAGGTGACGGTGGATAAGGGGAGAGAAGGGAGGGGGTCGGCCCTTTGTTTTCGGCCCAGACAGACAGCCGAGAGCCTATCGCTCCTCATTATAATTCTCCTTATATATCTTCACTAGACGATTCCTCTCTTCGCCGGCTAGACTCATATGGGCCAGGTACGTTATTAGTGGGGAGAAAGCGATGAATAGTCACCAAACAGGAACCAAAGGTGGCTAAAAATTCAAATAACAAAAAAGATTAGTGCCATGCTGACAATAAATGTTTTGATGATAGTTAGAGAAAGGCTGAATGATAAGCACATGTACTGCTGATGAAACATTTCATTTGTCTGTGCTGCTCAAGACTCAAGACAGTCTCATTACCGATTTTGTAAGCAACACGGAGGCCAACTTGGCAATCTAGTGATGTTTATATTCCTTCTTTGTAGTCACAGGGCAGTAGATGGATTTGTCCATCCGCCGTGTTCGTTTGTCCTCGTACGAAGTTCTGCGACGTGACGGTTTGACGGGAGACGATTTAAAGTTACGAGCCGGTGCGATAAACAAAGGTGACGGAATGAGGCTCTGTCGCGACAATACAGTAGTGAATCCCACTTGTCTATTTGAACGCCTTCAAATCGGCAGGGTGCTTTTTGAATATTGATACATGTTTTTTCGGATTTACTTAAAACTGAATGAAAATCATCATCAGCAATATCTCTTGTCAACAGTCCAGCTGACAAAACTTTGACCGGCACCGCCGGTCTTGCCCAGTTAACAAACCGCCCCTGGCGACCACTATGAAATAAATAGAGGGTTATGATTAGGTTGGTTTGGACTTGGGAGTTAGGAGAAGATCTAGGGGTATTGTTTTTGTTTTTGTGTGTTTTATGGTGCTCGGAACTGCATAAAGTCATGAATGAGCGCGAGGGACACATTAAACTTTTTCAGTTGGTAGGAAATTTTGAATTTTGCCCAGGTGGCGGCCGAAGCCTACTCTTATCGATTTTAGACCACCAAGGGATCTTATTCTTTAACGTGCGCAACTTGCCCTTCGAGATTTTTCGCCCTTGTCTGAGAAGGCTAGGACAGAGTAGATCTTTCCTACCAGAAGATCAGGGGTGTGGCTGAAAGACAGCAGTAAGAAAAAGCCAAGCAGTAGCAGTAGAAAGGCTGTAGAAAGAATCAGGAGCCCAGAGCCCAGAGGAGGGGGTCAAAGGAGATGAGGGAGTGGGGGCAGAAAGAGGAGACGAAAGCAGACGACAGAACATTGCAAGAGAGCAGGAAAGGATGTGAAAGGAGACAAATTTAGAGAAGAAAATTTTTCGGTCACTACCCGGATTCGAACCCGGGACCTTTGAAAGAGAGGCCAAAACCTGAACCTCTAGGCTATGAGAGCCCCCTGTAAGGGGTATGGTTACGTCCATTCTTTTTAGAGTATGTTGGTGGGGTGGTCGCTCGTTACAGAAGTCCTTCCAAACCCAGCACTCATGGTCATGACATTATAACTTATTACTAATACTCTACTTGTAACTTCCCATCACCTTCCACCCTACACATCAACAAGCTGACATGAAAACATAATTGCTCATCGCAGAAATTCCATGTGAACAAAACCGTATCGATCGCTTTCGGCATGACACACAAGTGCCATAATAAGTGTGAAAGAGGAAAAAAATATTTAATAAAGTCCTCATCCCCGGACCACTTGAGTCTACTTCCCTCATTGGGGAGACAGACACAAAATAAGAGAAATTGAACCCTACAATGTACTTGAAATTAAGAAAATACGGAAAAATAAAGAAAAGCTAAAGAGGAAAACTCACTTTTCTCTCCGCAGTCGGCGCATTCATTGTTTCCTTCTTGTTGAACAAGCTCTGTGAGCACAGCTCGCTGTCTCTCCGCCATCTTTGCTCTGAGGGCACGTTCGGTGAATCACTTCCCTGTCAACACCGCCTACTATTTTCGGATGATCTCGGGAAATTCCTTCGTGACGTAGTTAGTGACCTCACGAAGTCCCCCCTGTGCGCAGTGCTTTGACCCAGTTTCCGGTCAAAACAGTAATCGAGAAAATTCACAAGTCAGGAAAAGTTACCTCCCATTTTTTAATTCGTGCTTCGACCAAGGAAATTTAAAGTAAGCTCCTTGGGCCTAGATCTACTAATTATGGTCAACTTTATCGATCACTTTCAGTCTTTTTTATTTCAGCTTAAGATTATACCAAGACAAATAGACTGAGTCTGGGTCTTTAATTTAAGATGCACAGTCTTTTATAATCATGAATTGCAATCATTACTGATAAGTAAATGTGGTCATATTTCTATCCCAGGCTTATCTGACTTGCTGCTGTCCGGATATGTTGATAATATACAAAAGTAAAAGATAACTGTGTAGCTAGTACTTTGCTTCTCTGTAGGGCCAACGGCGTTAACGGATACCGAGGATGGAATTCCTACGAATCAGCATTATCGTCTTTCTGTCACCGCTGTGTTGAATTTAACAGTAATCGTATTATATAGGTTGTGAATTGTGAAATGCTCTAAAAATGCACACGGACCAAATTGGATGCTTCTGAAACCCCTGCGCGAGAAACTCCGAAGGTCTAAATCTAAACCTGGACAATATCTCAAGGGCTGAATACTTGACGTCGCGCTTCAGCCTTAATTTTTGCATCCTTGTTGGGTAGTTTTTCTCTCTCTGTCTCTTTCTCTTTCCAAAAGGCGATTCACATTTACGTCATTCTCCACACGGCCCTCATCTCAAACTGAACCTCCTGTAACACTGTCGCTAACTTTATAAGATGGATTCAAGCAACAGTCATCTCCGTGCGTGTACTTTTCTTCCGCCTACAATATCTGCCTTCCTGTTGTTGGTCATCGCGGACTCCCTCTTCACTGTTTCCTCGTCCCCCC